CAACGTTTTAAGGTAAATTAAAGAATTATGAAATATACACTTATATGTTTATTTAAATATTGGGTATTAGTTTGTTGATATGGATGTGGGTCTGTTTGTTGATTTAGGTGTTGATATTCCAATTCTTTATATTCAAAGATAACAATTACCTTCTAGTTATAATATAAAGTTAGTATAGTAAATACTTCTTGATTCTCAATTTTATTCCAGTTTAGTTTTGTGTAATTAATAGTGTTAATCAATGAATTATATTATATTGAATTATATTGTATTGAATTGTATTAAACCCATATAAGTGTATTTTTCATAGATTGATTTGGTTATTAATTAAATATATATATTATTGTTAAATACTTGCTTGTTCTCACAGACTTTTTGAGATGTTTCTTTGTTTATTAATTAATATATATGGTTGTTAATAGAGGATGGTGAAATGGAGTTCTGACCACGAAAGTAATATAAAAAAAAAATTCAATGCAAAAGCTTCTCATAGACTTTCTGAGATGTTTATGGATGCCCGAAAGAAAAATAAGAAACCAGATTGGATTGGAGATCGTGTGTGGAATTCTTTATTAGAATCTTGGAATGCACCTACATATCGTACAAAGTGTACACAAACACAAAAAAATAGAGCATCTGAAAAAGGCGGAAGTATGCACACATGTGGCTCCATTAGCATGAATGAACATGCCATTCACATGGTATTATATTTTACTCTTCATTTTTTTAATGCTTAGTTTTATATGTTAAATTTTTATTTATATAATGTTTTTATTTGTAGGAAAAGGAGCTTGGTCAACCTGTACACCATGATGAACTCTTTCAGCAAACTCATCTACGAAAAGATACTGGTCAGTTTGTTGATGATAGATCTAGGCGGACATATGTGAGTCTATTATGTTACTTATTTTATTTGTCTTTAATACAATTAATGTTTACACTATTTTAACGTACTGTTTATGATGATAATAGGAAGAGTTTGAAGCTAGATTTTCTCAAGCTATATCTGAGGTTTGGTCCACTGTTGGCACCTCAGAATGCACCCCTTTAGACCCTATTGAGGAGGATAGACTTAGGAGTCAATGTTGAAATGCAGTTATTGGTAGAAAATACAAGGGACGTCGTTATGGTACAGGAGATCTTTATGAGAATGAGGATAGCAACTTTGTGGGGACATCTTTAAGTCAGTCTCAAAATACACAAGAGATTTCTCAGTTGACACAATGAGTTTTAACTAATGAGGAAGAGATGCGTCAGATGCGCTCCCAGTATCAGACTGAGATTCAATCCTTGACCTCCCAATATCAGACTCAGTTCAACACATTTCTCAATGTTGTACTCCCATTCCTACCACCTACTATGCAAACTACTTTTCAACAGCAACAACAACAACAACATCAACCTCAACAACCAAACAGACACCAACAAGACCAACAACAAGACAATCGACAACCAACAGAGGATCAACAAGCTAATGACCAACATCAACAAAATTCACCTGGATATTCTGATTATTAGACATTATGTTATAATTCTACAGATCGTACTATATGTATTTTTAAATTTGAACTCCTAAACTTTATTTGTTATGTATGACATTTTATTTTGTATGAATGAACTTGTTTTGATTTACATAATTATGATTGATTTAATATCTTTAAATAGGATAATTATTTAATATAATTTTGAATTTTTAAAAAAATATGATTTTCCACAGAATTTCCCACGAAAATTTCCCACGGATTTATTTGTGGGTAATTTCCCACGGACTTATCCGTGGGTAATTTCCCACAGATTTACCCACAGATAAATCCATGGGAAAATCAATCGGAAAGTTACCTACGGATAAATCCATCGATAAATATTTTAGATGAGCAATTTATCGACGGATTGGTGTCTGTCGGTAATCCGTCAGAAATGCACTATTACCCACGGATTTTTGGGATTTCCCACGGATTCTGGCAGTCTGTAATAGCGAATTTTCTTGTAGTGTTATTAAGTTAGTGTCGACAAAGTCGACGCTATATTTAAAGAATAACATCGGCTTTTCCGACACTAAACTTAAATTAAGTTAGTGTCGACAAAGCCGACTAGGGATGGCAATGGGGTCCCATGGGGGTGGGTAATAGTAAACTCGTCCCCGCCCCGCTAGATAAAAATGGCCCCCATCCCCCCCCAATCCCCGCGGGGGTATCCATTAAGCGAGTATCCATGAATTTCTTGAATACCCACGGATATCCATGGATATTTATAATTTTTTTAAGAAATAAAAAAAAATTATATTACAAATAATTCTAAGTTTATATTTAATGTCATTGAAATATTAAAAAAAAATCAATGTTAATTTTGAACTTCTATTTTTAACGTTAATTTTGTTAAAATAATAATAAAAATGCAAGATAATCAATAACTTAAAATACATCAATCTCATAAGTAAGTGAAAGTCTCATGTTACATAGCTACATAATTCTATAACATGCTTAACACATGTTGGTAACTTCATTAACCTCACTTTTGTAAGAAAATAAGATGAGAGAGTGTAGCTTTAGGGTTATGTGGTACAATGATAATTAGGATATTTAAGAAATATTGTTAAACGGGTATCCGCGGGTATGGATATCATCATACACGCCCCCGCCCCGTTTATAAACGGGTAAAAAATTATCCATCCCATTATCCGCGGGCACCCAATTAGCCTATCCATTTATTATCTATAGCGGATTTTACCCGCAAATACTCGCGGGTGCGGATATTTTTGTCATCCCTAAAGCCGACGCTGTATTTAAAGAATAGTGTCGGCTTTTTCGACGCTAAACTCAATTTAAATTTAGAGTCAGAAAAGCCGACACTATTTCTAAAGAATAATGTTGATTTTTTCGACACTATACGTGCTTTGAGAGAGATAAATATGATTATTTGAATCTTATATACGCATAATGTATGATGGTGCAGTTGGTTATCAAGTTCCCTTAACACGTTAAAGTTCTAGGATCGAGTCTCGGTAATGCTAAAATTACGAACAAATAAATGATAAATTAGAAAAAGAAGATGAATAAAAAAATAAAATAAATTTTGTGTTGACGTAGTGTCGACTTAATCGACAATAAAAAATTAAAATAAATAAAATTGTTACTGACGGCTTAGCCGACAAAAAAAAATTAGACGAATGACCGACAATATTATGTCTGATCCTAGTAGAACATGATTTATCAAAGTAAGTGAATCCCTTCTTATATATGTGTATTTATATATTTAGTACCTTCATTCTTATTTATAAGACCTACTTAAAATAATTGTTTATTCCTTTATATAAGATCTAATTCATATTTTCTTATATATATCAAAACATTCCAAATTAAAATATGTTTCTTAATTTAGAAAAATATATTAATTATTAAATTATTTGATAAACATGTATTCTAAATATTTAAGAGAAAAATAAATATTAATTAAAAAAGAGAAATAATATAAGACATCTACTATATTTAGTTAGAACATATAAGAATACCCATTCAATATCTATTATAAGAAAATAAAAATACATTTTTTTTATTTTTAAATATTTTATCTCATTCAACTCTTAAAATATCCTTCATAGTTAATGCATAACTTCTTAGTTATACTTTTATTTTTTACATTTATAGCAAGAACAATTCAAAAATAATATTATAAAATTACTAAAATTTAATGCATAATTAATTTCTTTAATTTGTAAAAAAATATTTTTTTATAATAGAAAACATAGGAATATTAATTAGGAAAGAGGAGATAATTTTAAAAAAAATATATGTAAATATGATAAATTTGTTGTTATAAAATAAATTAACTAATTTACTTAATTGAAGTGAATTGAGTAATTAAGTTAATATATAGAAAAAAATCGTATAAATTTTAATAATAAAAAATAAATGATCATTATGATGAAATCTATAAAATAAATAAGAATCTGGTAAAAAAGAATGTAGAAAAGGGATTGTTAAATTACATTATATAATCCTAAATTAAAAATACAATTAATAGTACCTTCAAAAAGAAAGAAGAATACAATTAATAGGAAACAATATTAATAAAAAGTCTCATTGGTTACTTGTACGTTTTTAGAAAAAACTGTAAAGATGGTTGTAATAATACCAAACTTAAGTTCATCTTTTTACTATTCCAACCTTTTCCTTTTAATTACTATACTAATCTTTGTAGATCTGGTTATGTTTACATAATATATATATATATATATATTAATTTTTTTATTATAATTATTAAAATACCAATTATTTGTTTTTATAAATAATTTAAATTTTAATGAAAATAA